ACTGGTTACTGAAATGTCCCATGGGTAGACTACTAGCAATAAATGAGTAGGTTATAACAGACTACTTTTGTATCTAAATTTAATAGGGTCTTCAAAGGCGATGCCTATTACCCTACATATGCTGGATAATACTAAACCACCATCGGCCCACCAAACACTCAATCTTTTTCTGTTAGGGGCTCATAAAGCAAGGAACAACCAATAAAAGGCAAGGTATCATAGAATCATCATCATTTTGGTGTATCCGATATCGTAGTACTCAGGTTAAAAGAACAGAAAAGGCTGTTTCCAGAGTCCGCCTTCAAACTCTGTAATCAACCTGTCATGACGTGGCAAATCTCATAATCAATAGAGGGTCAAAAGTTGCTCTAGGCTGAAGACTTCACATCTGCCTTATTCCGCTGTTTGAACAAAGGCAATGGGGTAGACTAAACGGACTTCCACATTGGCCTTCCCACCCAGAGGGTGACGGGCTTTGGGGGATATATTTGAGGAACAAGACTCCTGACCAATAAGTCTAACTTTAAAGCGTTGCGTTTTAGGGCCTTATTTAAGGACCATACTGCCATGAGTAGAGTGCATTCCTAAAAAGGCATTTTCAGGTCATGGATGGTTCAATAGAAAATGCAATGAATAATACGAAGCTAAAGTGGTATTCCAGGTTAAATGATTGACGTCAGCGGCGGAGAGGGCGGCAAGAGGAGGAGGTTAACTTACAGCTATCAGATTGGCTTCATCAGTCTCCTGTTTCAGCATTCGCAACAGAGTGGGTGTCAGACGAGAGATGAAGGGCCTAAAGTCACTGCCAAGCGCAGAGCTGATAGAGCCGAGGAGTCGAATGGCAGCACGTTGCACGGCCGGAGAGATCCACCAGTGAGCAATAATTATGTTCACCACATCGTGAACAAACTCCTTCGCATGCGGACCGATGATAGAGACGATGGAGGCCAGATGGTTGACGACGGTCTCCTGCAGCTAAAACAGACAGACACCAAAAGGGCGAGAGAGAATAACTACCGGGTTGGGGGTAACTCGTCACAAACGACGACAACGGTGTCCATGGCTTCAAGCGCAGTGAGTGGTAAAGCCAAACAATACTTCTACGCGTGCCTAACAATGACCTACACTTAAATTCAAATATGTCACCCGAACCTGTCAATAAACATTCTCAGAAAAGAAGCACATCATGTAAAGGACGCAGTCGCTATACAATTACATACCCTCATAGTTAGAAGCAATGAAGCTAGCTTCCGGATCGCAGATAATTTGATGGGACCCTGGCTACACCTTCAAATTTGAAGAAGCTGAAATTCTGGCAAGAGGTGACAACCGCGTGAAGTGCTGGAGTCACGGTTCTCCGGCCCGCAATGATTTTCTGTCCTGAGATTTTGGCTGGACACACGGAAAGGGTGCGGGCGACCAGCAGTACCGGTGACCGCGAAACAAATGATCGGGTAATCATCACTCCAAAAACCAACAACGGTGACGAAATCATCACAGCTAATGCCCTTGATACGGACTAACAAGCAATCGTCGCGTAAGTGAGAACACCACAAAGGGCACAGATATCACTACCGACAAAGACAGCGGAGACTGAAATGGTCATTTCTCCCTCATTAGCAGTCATCGGTCAATCATACCCAACACCAAGTGGTGCTCCACCCGAGAAGCGAACCCGTGACCTCCACATTATGTGTTGGAATTTTGCCCGACCAAGTTTACAAGTAACGCGAGAAGGCCCCTGACAACCAGCAGTACCGGTGACCGGGAGCCAAATGACTGAGTAATAGTTACCCCAAAAATAAACGGTGACGAAATCATGACGATTAGTGGGTTGGGTAGGGTCTAACAAGCAGGCGTCGCATCGACCACGACCACAACCCCGAACGGGAGTGCTTTTAATTAATGTTGGCTGCGTCTAAGCAATCGGCCTCTGGTGATGGCTTCGAGCCAGAATCCAAAACGACAGATTAATAAACTTCTTGTTCGAGCGATCACGTTTTCTTCGTCTAGAAAGTCGAGCAGTCTACTGTTTAACTGCAGAGGGAAGGGTGAATGGGGCCGACACTTCCGCGCCTAAGCTTGCCACCACCCCATGTTCGGCCCTTGCTATCCTAACGCTT